CCCTCCTCATGTTAGATCCAACTTCTAATTTTGTTAAATTTCCTGAAGGATTTTAATTGTATATTAAATCATGACTAGTGCTTAAATTAAACAAGAATTTTATAAACGTCTTCAAGAGTACGGATGAGATTCAAGTTCGCGTCCATGTAGAGTTCGACCTGAACTTTACATGTTAATAGTTTGCTGAATAGGTGAACCCCCATCTGCTGCAGCTGGAAGTCATTCTTTTATCAACCAAGGATGGACCCTCTCTTGAACCACACCAGGCCACATGCCTTGCCAGGGAGGCCTCCATCCTGGCAAAGTACCTTGTCGTCATGTTGATGGAGACAAAGAACACATCCATCAAAGATAAGGGTCTGGTATGGATTTTTAGGGGGAACCCAATTACTTTTTTTGTGGGTTCCCCTTTACAGTTCATAACAGACCCTCATCTAGGAAAAGGGTCTGGAATGGATGTAAAAGGGAACCTATGGCCACTGTGTTTACAAACAGAATGAAGCATCTTGGAAATGTTTGGTCTTTTGATGGAAATTTAAATTGTATTTTTTCCATGTAAATGTTAATTTGCTTAAGTACATGCTAAAGATGTGCCACTTCACATGAAGGTTAAAGGCATCCTTCAAGCATGTTATAGGAATTGTACTTTTTAAACAAACTGCTCCCTGCTGAACTGTATTTTTTTTAAATATTGTTTTGCATTGGTGCATGTTCATGGCAGGGTCCAGCTACACATGCCCTTTTTCCTCAAAGATTTCAAAGTGATCTTGAAAAAAGCCAGAAAAATATAACAAGATTCAGCTTGGTTCCTTTTAACACTATTCAGGAGACCTGATGTTTAGGAGAATACAATGTTACATAGTGTTATGAGATAGTACCATTGGCTAAGATTCACAATTGTTGTGGCAAAGCCTCCTCTGTGAACATTAACTTAGAATAGTGGCAACAGTGGCACTATAATATAACATTTAAAAGCAGTGCCATTATCATTGTACTTGGCATTACATAATGTGGCTATTCAGGTTAGTGAAGAGCCACCTTTCAGCACCAAGATTTTTGGGCAATAAAAACGTCCTGCTCTTACAGAAAAAAACAGACCTTCAAAGTTCCATGTACAAGAGACATGTTTTGTAGCATATACAGACACCTATAGCAGTCAATATTAATGACAGTGAAGACGAACAGAGTGCTTTGTGTTTTAAAAAGACCTAATGCCTCAAGCCTTTATATCAAGAGGAGTATTACAATAGGACTGGCTTGATTATGTGCAAAATACATTTTGCATGTTGCAAAAAAACCCCAACTATTTACTCCTAAAGTGAACTGAGAAGTCTTCACTCCATGACACACAGCTAAATGGTGCTGCATGACCTAATGTCATTGCTTTCAGATAAATGCCAATAAGTAATTGAACCTACATTAAGTATGGAAAGGATTGATCTCTAAGTCACCTTTCTATACTTTGTAGTCCATATGTCACAGCACTCTGGTAGAGGTCATTTAATATACATTTAAATCAATGAGAATAAAGAATAGGCAAAACAAGTCTTGCTATTGCCCTTAACAGCTAATATTCTTGTTTATTAGTTCCATCACATAAAACATAAAATAAGAGTTTTTGGGTTTTTTTTGGGGGGGGAGGCATAACCTTAATTGTGCCCCTTTTCCTCTCTATTGAGTTTTCTGGATCAGCCTAAACAGCTCTATTGCAAGCAACATCTGCAATACAATAAAAATACATCACTGTATATTATTTACAGTGATTTTAACTCTTTATTGTATGTGCTTCCTCTCCATACTCCAAATTTTAACAGTTCATGTGCTGATAGTAATCTAATGTAAGCAATACCAGACTAAGTTGGGCGATTGGGGAAGGACACCTTTTGAGGGATCACATCATTGGTCTATTCTTATACATTGTGGAAAATCCCTTTAAGTTGTCACCAAAGATGATCTCACGGGCTCTTGCAACTGTTTTTGCCACATTTATGTTCAGGTATTTATGTACAGAGATGCCAAAAAGGGATACTTCCCTTTGAGCAACAAAAGTGGAAAAATCTATGGAGTGTACCATGGTCTGCCACGGTCCAGTCATGTCTTTTTTCTGGCTTCTGTGTGTTATCCAACAATGTGCATGGCAAGCATCTGCAAAGTATTGCCAAAGCTTTCAGTTTTCCAGTCTTTAAAGCAAACTTCAATTCCAGTTTGAGGATGTTAACCACAGATCCTAATGAGAGTGCTGACTGCTACAAAGTAGACATATCTCCAATAGACAACAGACCAAATAGGTGAAAAAGTCTACAGAGTCTTTAATTTTGTCTCCAGCCCTGATGAAAGGGGAGTGTTGTCGCACCTGAAATGCATTGGCTGTTTTTTCTCTGTGATTTAATTATTAAAAACTCTATGGGCTTTTTTTTATCTATTTGGTCAGGTGCCTATTCAATATATGTCTACATTCTAAGTCTGGTTTCTTTTTCTATACATCTTGCCATAGCTGGGCTTTGGACCATTTTGTTTGATGGAAACTGAAGACTCTCCAATGGATTAACTTAAGACTTACCATATCCCAGATATATTTATGACCAAAGAGGTGTTCACCCTTTAAGAGCAATTTCTGTTTTGCCTGTTAAATATTTATTGCCTATTTGAAATATCAGCTGATGTGTAAAAAACTTTCCCATGACAATGTCTTGAAAACATCAGCAGAATTTATCTTCTCTTCTTGATTCTCTATATTGGTTGGATTCTCTTTGGGAAAACAGCTATCTGGAATGTTTAGTGTACTTTATACCTTATGCTGTCTATTGCACAGTATTTTTCTATATATAGGGTGAAATTGGGTGTTTTATGTTGGCTGTCAAATGTGAAAATGAGCACCCGAGCTATACATTTCTCATGTTTAATCCCTCAGGTTCTCTGTAATGTTGTGCAGCCCACGTGTCATCTTACTGAACTGGAGTAACGCTTATCTCTTTTTACATAATCACAGTGCTGTG